AAAAAAAAAAAAAAAGTGACTCTTAGTGGAATGATTCTTGTAGAGAATTTCTAGAAGGTGAAATCTAACATCCAGACTATTACTTCCCAAATGATTGGATCTTATATGAATTACATGGGGGCAAGCTAGACTGAAAACAAAGGGCACTGCTATAACCACTCCACCACTGGGGAAATAACTGAGAAACCTGGGTCCAGTCTGCTCCCACACTCATTAGTCCTATTCTCAGGTTCAACACTGCATGTGAAGGAATATGATCTTTCCTCAACTATGGGGTACCCTGTATAAGAAGAATCACAACTTCTTACCAAAAACACTGATAGTGGAGCACATTAACTGAGGACAAGGCAGCATCACTAAAACTCCAAGAGGGGGGTCTAATTAAATGCAAACAACCCCAGAGGGTATCCCTAGATCTTAGAAGGTTGATCCAAAAAACACAACACACAATCTGGAGGTCTCAGGACTGCCAGTCACTCACATGTGATCATGTGACCACAGGTACTCCTGACCCATTAAAGGGGAGGGGTCTCAAGGAGGAAAAGAGGGGTGCAGAGAAGCAAACTTTGGCAGTATCCACCTAACATCAGCCGGGACAGACATGTGCACTGTAGTCACTGGAGAAGAGCTCTCCCCTGGGGGCGGGGATATTTTATTAGACTTGCCAGACGAAATGCTTCCCACCTTTTGCTTTCAAGTTATACTCCCAAATAATCTTCTGACCACTAAAATTTAGCTTCCTAGACACTTTCATACTAGCAAAGAAAGTATCCTGAATGGAGAAACAAGTTTTCCAAATATTATGTGATAATTTTAATAAGCTGGCATTTCTCATGACTTCAGTACGCGCCAGTATTATCAAGGTTTATCATTTCTGCTTATATAAACAAACAACTTGCTCTTGGACCTGAGAGGTTGAAGATCACACAGGGATCAATTGTCACACACTAGTGAATCAGCCAAAGAGCATCATCTACTTAGAGACAGATGGCTGCCAATTTAAATACAGGGTCCAATATGGGATCTGATAATAGGTACTAAAACTATGTTGAATAAAGATAATTTTTCCTAAAATGTAAACCAAAACTTTTTAAATCATGGAATTATACAATAATCAAAATATTGATATTCAATGAGCTCAAGGTATTTACATATAATTTTTCAATAAATTATCTATAAAACCACTAACTGGTATATCATTTACTATCCCTTTTCTCTATATAAACCCTGATGATTCTTCATATCATAAAAAATAATATATGCCCCTTAAATAAAAAGTATACATCCTAACAGCATTGAAGAAGCAAGTTTTAAAAGGTCTTCATCAGATCACGGCCAAAAAAAAGACCTTTATAAATACACAAACCGCCACCTCAGCCCTAAGTAGTTTTCTACGTATTTCACTGCTTCTCTAATCTTTGCTGGCACAAGTTTTCTTTCTCAACAAATGACGGTATTCACTTGTTTTAAAGGAGGCAGTATGATGTAACAGAAAGAACAGAAAGAGAAACCTGATTTCTGATCCTGGGCCAGGAATGACTCACTGTGAGACTGGGGCAAGTCATTCAATCACTCTGGGTCTCAGCTTCTTTACACGTAAGAGAGTATACTCCTACTTGATTTGGAATGATGTGGGGAGGACTAAATGAAACACCATAAGAGAAATTCCTATACGATATGTGCTCAGTATTCCCTTCCCTCTCCTGCCCCACTGAGAACACAAATCACATTTTCTATAGACTTATGACTTTCCCAGCACGCAGCAGGGTAAATGACGCGTAAATTGAAGCACAAAGAACTTAGCAATTATGAAAGAGTAAGAAAGAATACCAAGAATGTAAGTCAGAAACTATAAATTCCTACGTAAATTCTTGTGTAAGGAAGGCATATGAAATCGCCATTTCTTCAACAGAGTAAAAATGTCAAAAAATGTACCCAAGGGCCAATTGCACAAGCAATAAACAGGATATGATCTGTAAAGTGGGTCGATTTGTGTCAATCATGAATGGAGTTGTGAAGGCTTTAGCATGAAAGAATTTCATTATTTAGGATCTAGAGCACTGAGCCAATTAGTAAAGGGGCTCTCACTGGGGGAACCAGGACGGCCAGAAAGGGCACAAGTGGCTTACCCTCCACCTTTCCCCATCAGTCACCTCTACCTACCCCTACTATACCATCTGATGAGGAATACTTTCACTACCCCAACTGTGGTCTTGTCCTATTCCTTGTCTCCACCCATTTTTCACTTAAAAATATAGGCTCAATGTCTGAAAAACCATTTAATTGCATACCTGTAATAAGTTGTGTTGACTTGGACAGTTATAGAAATAGATACTAACCTGTATGCCTGTATGTGTGCAGGCTAATTTTGTAAATTCAATACATCTGCCATCATTCACATCCCAAAGACACATCTCTCTATAAAACAAAATAATAGCTAAATTTAAATCTGATTTTTACAAGCACTGTCCAACTTTGTAGTATTTTAAAATAAATCTTCCACTAAAACTGATATATGTCAGAAAAAGTAACGTATAGTCATTATTGCTGTTCGTGAAAAATTCTGGTCCTCACTCACCATCCCAACCTCCCCTCCAACCTGACCACCCCCACCTAAATCCACATTCTTTCTGGGCACATGGTAGGGCTCCACTGCCTGGCTCCCTTTTGGTTGGGGAAGTCATGTGAGTAGTTCTGGCCACAAATGATGTGAGGGCCTCAAGATCTCTCTTTCTCATCTGCCTCCATTCCAGACAGTGGCTGCTTCTGACAATGGCTGCTCCCTCAACCTCAAAGTCACAATAATAACAAAGCAGAGCCCCAAATGACATATGAGGGTCAAGTGACAAAAGTAAGAAATAAGCCTTTAATTTAAACCACCAGAATCTTCCATTGCTTATGAGCATAGCCAGAAAATTTAGCCCAGCACAAAACAAAAATTAAAGTCAACTGAATTCCAAACCTTTGCAAGTTAAATGTAATATTCCAATTTTGGTTCTGTATTTATTGCATAAGTGCATACCAAAGAAAAAAAAAGGCTCAAATTTCAAACTAAGGATACAACATTCAAAATTAGAAATATGTCATGATCTTTGAAATACAAAAAACAACATTAATAAAAAGCAATGGTGCTAATATTCTTAGGGCTTTCTTCAAGATGCCCTTTCTTAGATCTCACATGGTGTGAAACAATTTTTCAAAGGATGGTCAATCTTATTTAGAATATGCATGCTAGTGTGAATCACCCTTTAACTGTCCAAAAGGGATTTTTACCTAGAGCTGCCTCTTCTTGTTTCAAACAAGTTACATAAGGTTCTTTTCAAATTCATAAATTATGGGGGGTGAAGGGGAGGGAACAACTTCTTAAATAATTCTCTTCCAGGTCCCCAACTCTCTCCAATAACATATTATGTATATAATTTTCTAAGCACCAAAAAAGTTTTAAAAACGCCTGTGAACCCTACAACTACTATCTAATTGCCTCTCTCTCCAAAAACAAGTTATATTCTAAGACTCAGGAACATATATAATTACATAAGTATATTAACATATATGACATTATATGAACTTTGCATGATTTTATCTTCCAAATTTATTTTAGCCTACCCATCATTCAGGTTCTTTAAAACTCTCAAAGTTGTCTGCCAACTCAGTAAAGACACCACAGAGATTAATGATCAGGCTTTAACTTGTAAGCTATTCTGAATTGCTCAAGAGCAAGGCAAAAACATAATCATAAACTATAATAAAAGTATTATAAAATCATTAATAAAGAAAATTCACAATTATAAAACCATATTTTAAGTATTGTTAAGTTTAGGCAACCTAAGAATTTATTTAAAAGATACTTCACCAGAAAAAAAAAAGCTTCCCTTCTCACTAACACACCGGTACTATTTGCAATAAAGACTTATCAAGAAAAAAGTGAATACAAAATGCTTACCCACTTTCAGACGCACTCACAATATACTGTTTGTCAGTAGAAGCACAAGCTTTAGACAAACAGGTGATTGAGGCTGTGTGACCAAACAACAGTGCTCGAGGATTAACCTAGAAATACACAAGTATGTTGATGCAAGTATCAAATTTTTAAAAATTAATCTTTTTTTAGGAATCCTGTTAAATAGTAAATATAAATATAAAATACAGACCTGATAAGAATTGCTCAGAACACCAAAACCTAAAAGCCACAAAACAGTGAATCCTACCTATTAAATGCTCAACAGTCACCCCGCCAGGTAGTTCTAAAGTCAAACTGGAACGACCAGTAACCAGTAACACTGTTTGCCCAGCATCCTACAGAGAACGACAGAGCTAGGAGCCAAGCGGGCAGTCTTAAGCACTAAGTTATAGAGAACTGAAAAATCAGGTTAAGAACGTTGGTATATAAAATAAAGTAATTTAACCCCACTTATTTTTTTTAAATATTTTTTTTTTTAACATTTATTTATTTTTGGGACAGAGAGAGACAGAGCATGAATGGGGGAGGGGCAGAGAGAGAGGGAGACACAGAATCGGAAACAGGCTCCAGGCTCCGAGCCATCAGCCCAGAGCCTGACGCGGGGCTCGAACTCACAGACCGCGAGATCATGACCTGGCTGAAGTCGGACGCTTAACCGACTGCGCCACCCAGGCGCCCCTAACCCCACTTATTTTTTAAGCAGTATGTTCACTGACCTGAAAACACATTTAGAGTCTCTAGATTGACACCATCAAAACTCAAAAAATAAGAGGACAGGCACCCTTCCAAATGCTGATAACAACATTAACTATCAGCAACTAAGAACGACCTTCACAGACTAATGATTTAGTAACAACATAGTGCCTCAGAGGAAGGACGGCTTAATACCCACTATTCTAAACTAACCTGGCAATCAGCTCCCAAATTTATCTACTTTGTACCGAATGTTACGTTTACTTCAGGTAACTTCAGGGCCTTAGGTTATCAAAATATATTTTTTAATTAAATATTTAATACATACAAACATTGATAACATCTGCATATGCTATAAAGAACACATCCTAATTTATTAGTAAAGCTAACTGTTCAAAATCAAATATTCCACAGAAAGAGTACAGACATTGTTCTATAGTTCTGATATGTGGCAATGGAAGAGATTTTCCAAATAAAATTCATTTTAGTTATCTTTTGTATAATTATAATTAAGAGAAAATTTTAATCTGTTTTTTCCTTAGTTATACAATATGCATTTTTTCCCTCAGAGGCTAAATTTTTATTTTAATTATTTACTTTAAGAATCAATCATTGTTTATAGTTACGAAGGGCCTAGAACATTTTCCCATACATCAAAATTTTTCTCACACATCCAACCCCACCTGCATACAGAGATTCAGTAATCTTCCACTAAAAAATATGCTCTTGGTCAATTATTTAATTTCTCCCAAGAAAATCAACTTTACCAATAGCTTTATTTCAAATGTACATGGCTTTGCTGGAAAATTCCACTTTCAGCCAAAACAAGTAACTAGAATTGGACTTTACTCCCACCATAATCTAGAAAAATAAAAATATTTGAATGAAGCATAAAAATCACATGATCATCTCAGTGGGGCAATAAAAGCTTTTGACAAAATTCAGTATCCTTTCATAATTAAAGACTCAACAAATTGGGTATAGAAGGAATGTACCTGTTTTATAAAAGTTATATATGACAAGCTCACAGCTATCATACTCAACAGTGAAAAGCTAAAAGCTTTTTCCTTTAAAATCAGGAACAAAAATATTCACTCTTGCTACTGCTATTCAGCATAGTTAATCCAAAGCAGTTAGGCAAGAAAAAATAAATAAAAGGCATCCAAATCAGAGAGGAAAAAGTAAAATTTTTCCTGTTTGCTGATGATGTGATCCCACCTGTCCTAAAGATACCACTGAAAGACTGCTAGAACTAATCAACAAATCCAGTAAAGTTGCAAGATACAAAATAAACATACAAAAATCAGTTACATTTCTATACACTAACAACAAAACATCAAAAAGAGAAATTAAGAAAGTAATCACATTTACAACAGAATCAAAAAGAATAAAATAGTTGACCCTTAAACTAGAAATCTAAAAAATCTAGAAAAAGACTCTACCAGAACCAAAAAGGAATATAGTACAGTCACAGTACGCAAGTCAAAATACCAAAAAGCAATTGTATTTCTAAATAGTGACAATGAACATTTGTAAAATAAAACCAGAATACATGGCTCTGCCACCCACTGTCATATGAAAGCAAAAAAAAAAACAAAAACAAAAAACACCAAAATGTGTAAATGAAACTATATTTTTTACTTACTTCATAAGTACAAAGTTAGCAAAAAAAATAGAAAAGTTTTAAGATAATATTTTCATAAATCAACATGTGTCTTTAATGAACAGAAACTTATTCAATTCATTAAAAAGACATTTTCTGGAGTTTAAAGAAAAAAAAAAAGATGGCTTTAAGAAGTGGCTCTGAATGACTACCAAATGGCAAGCAGAGGAAGAGTAATCATCATACACAGATAATCATCTAAAAATACAGCTATGCCTAGTATCAATGCCAAATCACAACTATAAGGTGACATGACATACACAAGGTGTACCTTGTGTGGTACACCATATTTTAAATGTGGCAAGACTTAGGCTCAAAATGGTCAAGTAAACTGCCCAAAGTCACACAGCGAGATACTAGAGCAGCCAAGGTTCAAGCCACGTTTGCCCAACTCCAAAGGCCAAGCTCTAACCATAACGTTTTACTTCTTTCTTCAACAACGAGGATGATACTATTCTCAGAAAAGATCTGTTTTCCTAACAGAATGGAAAGCTTTAAGAAGACAGGAATCAGTCTCATAAATATCCTGTAACTTTTATAGGTAATGGAGCTTTACAAATATTGCTTATAAGAGACAGTATCTACATCAACAAGTTTCCTCCTTTACTCTGATCACCATCTGTCTAGATACTCACTAGGTTGTCTAAACTGCTTCTACAATTTTCCTCGGACATTTTATTACCACCATGTTAGACCAGGCTGCACTTTTTCACAGATAAAAGGAGATCAAGAGGTGGATGGCACAAATTTAGCTACAGTTTTGAACCCTTTCAGAGAAAAAGAAGAGAAGACACCAAGACTTCAAGAAAAGACACTCTGTGCCTCCCCCAGCCATGTTACATTTCTTCTCATTGGCCCTTCATCAGCATAAAATACCTGTTACAGCACTCTCAACAATAGCCAAATTATGGAAAGAGCCTAAATGTCCATCAACTGATGAATGGATAAAGAAATTGTGGTTTATACACACAATGGAGTACTACGTGGCAATGAGAAAGAATGAAATATGGCCCTTTGTAGCAACATGGATGGAACTGGAGAGTGTGATGCTAAGTGAAATAAGCCATACAGAGAAAGACAGATACCATATGGTTTCACTCTTATGTGGATCTTGAGAAACTTAACAGAAACCCATGGGGGAGGGGAAGGAAA